AATGGTTTTTGTACAACGAAATTGTTATCATCTTCGAGACATCAATTCACGCGTCACAAGAGTCATAATTTGTTGTGAAGCATACTAAGAAGAAATATACCTTACTTACGTCTTTTCTTGTGTTTTGCGGTGATCTTAATGGCTGTTGCCACCAGGATAATGGTATCTTGTTCAGACGTACACTGCAGAATTAATGGGAGCGCTAGAAATGATTAGGAAGACGGATGGCAAGTGAAGTTATATCCGTGAGATACGTCTCTCTTCTCTATTTTTCGTCCTCACCTTTCTCTTCTGTTGTTCTACTGGGCCACAAAAAGGCAGAGATCGCACAAACGGCACCCGTCTCTTCACCTGTCAGTGTAAACGATCCAAAATAGGCCTCGGCTGCTCGTGTGGTGACGTTAACGACTTGCTTCAGATGGAACTCTTTCCGGGGCGCCGTCACTTTGCAGCGCAATGTAGGATTTTCAATGTGGGCCAATTTTAAGTTCTAGTACCAAATTTTTAATTGCACTTATATATGCTTCTTATGCCGGTCACGGTAGCCGAGCGGTCTAAGGCATATACTGTCTTCGATCGCTTGGAACCCGGGGTCGTGGGTTCGAATCCCACTTAGGGCATGGATGTTTAGTTTGTGTGTGTGTGTGCGTTTTTCTGTGTTTGTATACAGGTAAAGGCCTTGCGACGAGCTGATCTCCCGCCCAAGGAGTCCTACCGTATGTGTAAGATCGAGAAAAACCGAAGTGAACGGAGTTCATGGAGGTAGGCCTAGGCCCACTGGGGCTATAGTGCCAAAGAAAAATTATGCTTCTTATATTTAGTATTGTTAATTTCACTAATTACACGGCTGTCGGAGTCACCAAGTCTCCTATTCATAGAGTACCAGGTACGGTTTCCCCGTAAGTAAATCTGCCGGAACGTGAATCTGACCTGTCACATCCACTCAGTACCGAGGTTAAGAAATGACTGGAGATATACATGTACCTTCACTAATTACGTCTTCATGAATGAGGAGCTTCATAACTTGTACTCTTCTCCAAGTATAATTAGAATGATGATGTCTAGGAGGATGAGATTGGCAGGGCATATGGCACGAATGGAGGATAGGAGGAATGCATATAAGATATTGGTGGGAAATCCGGAATGAAGAAGACCAGTGGGAAGACCAAGACGTAGATGGGTGAAAATATTAGAATGGATCTTAGAGAGATATGGTGTGATTGTATAGATTGGATTGATCTGGTTCAGTATAGGGACCAGTGGAGGGCTCCTGTGAGCACGGTAATGAACTTTCGGGTTCTGTAAAATGCTGGGAAGCTCTTGAGTAGCCTCAAAATTGGCAGCTCCTCAAGAAGGTCTCAGCTCCATGAGTGAGTGAGTGAGTGAGTGAGTGAGTGAATTACGTCTTAATTGGATGGTGCTTAATTAAAGACAGTGACAAATTTGCCTTTGCATACTCAAACAAATGCCTAAATATGCATATTCCCGTCTCACCGTGTCTCTAACCGCTATTTTCAGCACGTTCTGAAAAAGTAAAAGGTTTATGTAGTAATCTTGCTATCTCTGTGTTCTCCCTTTCGTAACTAGCGAGCATATCGGTAAACACGTTCTCGCGGCAACGAATACACAAAATATGAGAAGAACAATTGGACGCGGTGTTTCAAACGCGGCACGTGTTATATCAGATGTTCAATATTTAGCTTGGGGCAAGCAGGTTATTAGTTCTCCAGACAGTTGCACAACCCTCATTGTCATAAGACAGTAAAATATGGCCATGACTCCTGCGGGATTCGGGACCAAGAATGACTCTTCTGGCGAGGACCAGCAGCAGTTCACCCGACCGACCGATTAGTTCTTCCGAGAATTTTTGCAAATTAATGGGGAATTCATTTTCACCCGAACACGGTTATATGGCACCCGAACGATGAGAGAGGTCCAAAGTAACAGCCTTAAACAGTGATTCTCAGTATCGTAAAAAAATGTTAAACTTCGGTTCATTTCCGTTTAGCAAGTCGACCCTTAACGAAAGATCTGAACATCTCGCGTAGTATAAAGAGACGGGGAAATCACTGCAGTGCTGGTGGCAGGGATTTCAGCTTAAACGGTGTATTGGACAGACGTATCAAGTTTCTAGCTTTCGTTTCACTCATTATGAGAGGAGTAAAGTTGCGACGCCAAAGTACTCTTCTTCATGCAAACTGCAAATGTTGTTTAACCATACGAAATATGTCACGGTTTATGCGCTAACTGGATCCGTGGCAGTCTGGCGACGCCTTCTGACACTGCAACAGTCTCGTGCCCCCACAGATGGTCTCCGCTAACTTCGTCGCTTCGGATGTGTCAAGTGAAATATATTACTGGCTTTCCCTAGAGACTGCAAAAGCAAGTTTGTTTCTTGCTGACAAACTCTGAAGATCGATGGATGGGTTCATTGGTTATTTAACGACGCTCTCAGTATCTCAGGTCTATATAGTGTCGAGTGATAAAATAATAGGTGAATGATGTGGAAGGAACAGTTGTGGCATAATCTAGGAACTATCTCATCATTTAGTTAAGAAACTAAGAAAAACCACGAAAATCCTCAAATAAGCTATACGATAGCTCCGACCGAGAATCGAACTGAGCATTTCCCGAATACAAATCTATATCAACACCGCTAGGCTAACCTGCTCTGTAAAAATCAACGGAAAATATATATGGAACTACAGTAGAATACTGTAACAAGAAATCCTGAGTAGTGTTTATGATGCGTACTTTCTATTAAATATTTCAATGTGTGTGGTAATGCCGTCAGATATAACAGAATATTAACAGACAGATCCGTGGAGCAGTTAAACTTCAGAAGCTGATAACAGTTGAAGAGTTGCTCAATAAATTCCTCAACTTCTGTAGAACACGAAAGCTCATTGTCATACTTGCATGATCCGCCACTGGGCCCATCATGTGACGTATGACTCAACACCTCTGTGCCCATTTGCTTTAAGATTCACTTTAATATTCTCCTCCCATCAGCTCCTAGACCTGTCAAGTAATCTCTTTCCTCTTGCAGTTATTAATTTGGTTTGCGCTTCGACGTCTCACAGCCCTATGGGCCTCGACGGCCTGTTAGCTTAAAGCTGGATTATGGATGATGTTTCAGAATCCATACTTCTTTGGGAAGGAGTCGGTATAGCAACGACCTACAGGCTGCACGGCCCAGGTTCAATTGCCGGCAGTGCGAAATTTTTCTTTCCTCCACAGCGTAGAGATCGACCCTGAAACCCATTCAGCCTCCTATCCAATGGGTACCGGGGGTTAAAGCGGTAGTGGTATGAAGCTGGCCACTCACCTCCATCCATGGCCGAGGTCATATATCTTGATGACACTGTGCTTAACTAATTAAGCGCAAGGAAACTTTATCTTTTAACTTGTTTGGGAGCCGTATGAGATCTCTTGTATTATTACGAGGTTTATTTGCTTAACTCACTGATGTACGAAAACCAGAGAGAAAATGACTGTTAGTAAAGCAAGTGTCAAGTAACTTCGAACAAGGCCAAGAGTAACCTTGAATGCGCAGAAGAAAAAATTCAGACAAGGGGGTGGGTTCGAGGATGTGAGAAGTGACAGACGGTCAAACAACTGGCCGCCTGTCACTTCTCACACCCTCGAACCCACCCCCTTGTCTGAAATTTTTCTTCTGCGCATTCAAGGTTACTCTTGGCCTTGTTCGAAGTTACGTGACACTCGCTTTACATACAAATCCGACAGCCTGGTGTATCGGTTTCTCGCATGGAGATTGTCAGGGACTGAACAGGGCTTACCAGCTACTGTGTGTAAGAAGAGAATTTGTTAATTCAATTTAGGCAGCAAATTTTGTGAGATACAATAGACAGGGCCAAAGAATTTTGATATTTTTCTTAAATATAAATTTCATAATTTGTGATAAAATTGGGGGTCACCTTACCAGAGGGTAGAGCAGTACGAAAAGCATGTGGAAGAAACTTGGAACTTGTAAACCATTTCAGCATTTGAAGAAAGCAGTCTTCTGGGATGTGGCGCCGTGAAGATATTGTGTTAATTGACGTTTCGGAGGAACGTATCGCCTCCATCTTCAGGGTAGAAGAAAAGAAGAAATCCGCGAGCGAACCAGCGTGAGCAGGTGCAACAGACTGTTCCTCCGAAATGTCGATTAACACAATATCTAAGCGGCGCCACATCCCAGAAGACGGCTTTCTTCATAGTCACCGGCGTGAAAACCTCAAATCTTACATTTTAGCATTTGCTTGAAGACAGAAATAATTGAAGAAAGCCCGCGTCGAGATGGTCTGTCTCCGGATCTTCTGTTACGTACTGGCGTGTATCCAAGGATCGTGCAACCAAAGAAAAGACGTACCCCGAGGCTTCCCAAAACAAACGAGTTATTTGATGCATAAATATTTAGTAACGTAGTTCCCGCCTCACAGGAAATACGATATATCCCCATAGCAAGCGCGACCTCGTTAATTTTCTTTAAGATAGTAATTGTTGTTTATCCACGGTGCTTCAAATGGTTAGAGGCAGATTTCAGTAACGGTTTCTGTTTCTGCCCAGGCACTAATAGGAGCATGGATTTCTCGGTCGGTATAGCAATGGGCTATTGGTTGGACGACCGGTGTTCAGTTCCCGGCATAAGCAATATTTTTTCTCTACTCCACAGCGTCCAGACCGGCTCTGGGGCCCAACGAGTCTCCTATCCAGCAAGTACAATGGGCTCTTCCCCCAGAGCCGTGAAGCTGACCACTGTTCTCCGTCTAGTGCCGAGGTCAAGTGTGGTGAAATTATACCTCCGCTCCACCATACATTTTCATGGCGTGACGCGTAATTAATTAAGCACGGGGGCAAATTTACTTTCTATTCCGGTAATCATTTGGAGGAACTATGAACTAACACATCAAACCACGCTGCGTATAGCACTGGAGCTGATGGAATTATCCATAGCTGATATCAGTTTGGATAACGTGGCACTTTTTCTGTTATTTCAGTACGGGCGTGCGCCGATACATTGGGCCTCCTCGCGTGGGAATACGGACATCATGGAAATGCTTATCGCATCGAAGTGTGACATCGAAGCCAAAGACAAGGTAAGTTCAGACAGGTCACGGAACTGTTTACTCACGCTACTAAATCCATAACTGGCCAGTTACAAGATATGAATATGCATACGTACGAAATAAGCCTCTCCAAATTTGCATTCAGAAATACAAAAAATAACGAAGAGCGCTACATTCTGGAATATAATGTCGCGTAGCCTGGTGAAAAGTCTGCTTTCACCGGTTCTCCCGGTCTCTTCGCTTGCAGATTTCTTATATTTTTTCTTCTACCCTGAAGATGGAGGCGATACGTTTCTCCGAAACGTCGGTTAACACCACATATACACGGTGCCAAATCCCAAAAGACTGCTTTCTTCATAGGTTACATTTTGTTAAAAATGTAATAAAATTGATATCCACTTGACGTAGAGGCTGTAATACTGTATATTTTAAACAATGCCTATTATTTTTAATAAATATTTACTGGTGAAAAACTTTCCTTATAAAATCTGGGGCAGTTTATTATATACATATTTTAGGTTATGTATATCTCTTATAAAACGTGTTTATTTCCATCACACTGACGTCAGCTTCTAGAATATATGTAAACGAATCACTTATAATGTTGCTGTAAAAATGTAAAGTTATTCCTGTGCTTAACTAATTAAGCACTGCTCCGTGAAGACGTATGGGGGGGTGGATGTATAGATCCACACTTTCTTGACCTCGGCACTTGTTGGAAGTCAGTGGTCAGAACCCCCGATACCCATTGGATAGAAGGCTGAGTGGGCCCCAGAGCCGGTCTGGAAGATATGGAGAAGTGAAAATTCTTCCCCCACCAGGACTCGAACTCCTACTCCTTGGTCGTCCAGCCCGTAGCCAGCCGCTATACCCACTGTGCTATCTCGACTCTTCCTGTCTCTGGTAAACTTTCAAATAAATTGTACAAACGTGCTCAGATCGTGTATATATGTCTATATATATAAATTTTGAGGAAGGAATCATTCATTAGCAAAGGTCCTTGCATTTTCATAGGGCCATCTATCAGGCACAATTAGACTTCCTTAGCACACGTGAAGAGTGTCTCACGCTCGTAGAAAGTACAGACCATGAAACTGAAAACGAGGATGATAATAGTCCGACAAACTCATAAAAAAAACTAAACACATTTACCTCTGTCAGAAGATATAGGCGAGATATGAGACAAAAGCCAAGAGACGAATATACATACCAGTTAGTCTGCTACAGGATTTAGTAAATTCAAATCACTTTAAAACGTCCTAATTGATAACACATTTACTACACAGGAAATTACTTGAATATTTATCTCATTCAGAAATTGTGCCTAAGAGTGCATTCAGAAACAGAAGGATGGCACTGATAAATTGTTACATATTTTCATAGCAAGATATAACTGGTGCGTGCGTGCTTGTGTATGAGTTAAATCAAAATAAACCCCGTCAGAAGCAGCTCGCTCTAAATGGTATACTTCTCCCCTTCTAGGTACTATACGAACCCCAACACGAAGCTTCCATTCTGAATGGAACACGACCCGCTGTCAGGGGAGGTAACTACTAAAATTCCTGGAATTGAGAACCCCATAATAACTGGTTCTAACATTCGTGTGTCAAAAAACTGAACTGTTTAATTTCTCGGAAAAATGCAACGGATGAAACTTCATCAAAACCTCTATAACAAGTTAAATTGCAGGAAAGGGAAAAGGAAAGCTAGACTCGAATTGTAGAGAATCTGAACTATACCTGTCATTTGTTTTGTCTGACTGATATAAATAGCTTTAACTCCACTTAAAGCCGTATCGATTTTCAATTTCCGTAATTCAGCACAGTAGCCATTAATTCATTATGTGATAAATTGGTTTCATGAAGTCAAAATGCGACATATTCAATTAAAAAAAAAGCAGGGATTAATTCGTTGTTACATGTTTTCCTTCTTCTTCTGCTGCTTTTTCTTTATCTTCCCCAATTCAATGACTGCCGCTCAAAGTAGACGCGCGGTCTAAGGCATGGAATGTTTTCGCCCGTTAGAACACTGGGACTGTGGGCTCGAATCCCAATCAAGGCATGGACATCTGTGTGCGTTTATCCTGTGTGTAGGTAGTGGCTTTGCGACGGGCTGATCCCCCGTCCAAGGAATCCTACTGAGTGTACAGGATTAAGAAACTGAAATAGCGGCCAAGGCCCAAAGGACTGTAGAGCCATAGAAAGAGAGAGAGAGAAAGAGACACGGACAGAGAGAGAGACAGACAGAGAAGACAAAGGAATAATGAAATTCTATGTCTAAAACATAGAAATAGGATTCCTAAGTAGCTGAAATTAATTGTAATAAATTTTAAATAGCATTGGTCATTTTTCGATGAAATTCAAAGGAACTAAAAATAAAAGAATAACAAAAACGCCATGCTAAGCTGTTTACAGTTACGCGTTCGCTCTTGGAAACAGAATTACAGCATCCGATTGGGGATATCTCTGTAGTGTTGTAACGGCACAAATGCTGGATTAAACACCGAGCTGAACGAGTTGCCTGGGTTGCAGCTCTTTGCTTTCGATGAACTGTAAATTGCTCATCTACGTTCGGATATTATGACACCGGTATATAAATGCTTACGTCATCATTTTCAGCAATAAAATATATATGATTTGACATTCTCACGGCTGTGGTTGTGAAGACTTCTATCAACAAGCTCTGCTATGTAAGATTTGAGGCTTTCACGGCGGTGACTATGAATAAAGCAGTCTTCTGAGATTAGGCACCGTGTATATGTGGTGTTAACCGAGGTTTCGGAGGAACTATCGCCTCCATCTTCAGGGTAGAAGAAAAAATATAAGAAATCTGCACGCGAAGAGACCGTGAGAACCGACCGGTTCTCACGGTCTCTTCGCTTGCAGATTTCTTATATTTTTTCTTCTACCCTGAAGATGGAGGCGATAGTTCCTCCGAAACCTCGGTTAACACCACATATACACGGTGCCTAATCTCAGAAGACTGCTTTCTTCAAGCTCTGCTATGTTGATTTCTTGTTCGGTTTCGGCCCTCAAAATGGATATGGCATTTTCCTCCGAAACGTCGGTTGGCTTTCAACGGACTCTATGACATATCCTAGAAAATAGAACTCTTTGTTAAAAATTTCCGTAGCATATTTGACAGCAACATAAAATGGCGGCACGCCATCAGAATACGGTAACGTGTAGAAAAATTACCGCCGTTCTTAAATTTAGTCATTATAGACTGCCAGCAAAACAGCCGGACAGTCGAAGTTCAAGAGACAGGCTGTAAAGAGATCTACCGCTAGAGATGCATCGCAGGAAAAATTCAGAAGCATGAAAATAATTAAGACGTTACGTTGATATTGACGTACCACACTAAATTCCAAATTAGTACGCTAACCTAACATAATGTAATAAAATATACTATGTCTAACCTACCTTCCGTCCAAACCAAATGTCTTTAAAATTTCGGAATTCACAACCAAACTTTTTTTTATTGCTAGTGAGGTGGGACTAAGTCCCTTGTACTGCGGCCACTTCTGGCCTATTGTACCAGCCCCAGATGATAGGTGAGGATGATTGTGGAGTAATTGGTGCAATGAAGATTGGCAGGGAAAACCGAAGTACTCGGAGATAACCTGCCCCAGCGCCACTTTGTCCACCACAAATCCCACTTGGCCAGACCCGTGATCGAACCCGGGCCGCCGCGGTGAGAAGCCAGCGACTAACGGCTTAAGCTATGGCGCGGCCCTCACAACGAAACTAACTACCTAACCTGACGTTCGTCCAAGTTAAGTGCCTTAAAATTTTCGTGACGTATAACCGAACTAACAGACCTAACCTAACTTTCGTGAGTATCAAATGTCTTCAAATTTCGGAGCACATGACAGAACTAAGTTCTCCAAACCTTACTTTTACCAAAACCAGATGCCTTCAAATTTCTGAATATATAAGCATTCACCACTCTGGCACTCTCGTGCCACGTAATACCCACACCGACAGAAGTTACTACTATAAAAACAACGTAACATATCCTCAGAGAAACAGCGACTTGTGTACATATGTCACATAAAGTAGAAAAGCTTTATTCCTGTTCCGTAACAATACCCAACAAATTAAACGAAATTGTTGCACAGCAACCTAATTTTAAACACAAGCACTAGGGAGAGCATTCACTGGTACTTACAGGTAAATTAAACTTCATAACAGTCTGATTCTTTGTCCTACTTGTACATGAATTCCATTTTATAGCCTTTCTCCTTCGCACGTGTTGCATGTGGCGTCGCTCCAACGTGTTTCACGTCCGTAGAGCACTTAGCAACAAGTTCATCCAGAATATAGCTGAGTAGTGTTTTGTTTAACGACTTCAGTTTCGTCTTAATATTATCACGTGTCAGGGGCTCAGTGACAAATAATTGAGGATTCTTAGATTTGATCGTTGGGTTTACTGGACGTTACTAACACGTTTACACTGGGTTACAATGATTCAGACATTCAGTGTGTGTGTGTGTGTGTGTGTGTGTGCTTTTTTCTGTGTTTGTGTACAGGTAGAGGCCTTTTCAAGAGCTGATCACCAGTCCAAGGAATCCTACCGAATGTCTAAGATCTAGTAAACCGAAGTTTCATGGAGGTAGAGAAAGGCCCAAATTGCGGCTGTAGAGCCAAAGGGAAAAAACTCTTAGGTCCTCCAGACAGATACCAGGATAGTATCTTAGATTCCACCACGACTGCCTCCTTCCACATCCATTCCAACTCATTCGACTCTATAATACCGAATACAAACAAACTGTGGCCCATAAGCCGCATGTCGGTCTTTTGAACAGTAAGTGCTACTCTCAGGAAAGGTATTAAACTAACTTCATGGACTTGAACCCTTCTTGGAAATCCTCCGATTGTGCAGCTGCTCAAGATATTTCAGCATTTTATGGAACCCGAAGGTTCTTTACCGTGGCCTTCCACTGGTCCCTATCCTGAGCTACATCTATCCAGTCCATACCACCCCAACCTATCTATCTAAGATCAATTTTAACATTGTCCACGCACCTACGTCTTGGTCTTCCTAGTGGTCTCTTTCTTTCTGGCTCCCCCACAAATATACTCTAGCATTCCTCTTCTCCCCATTCGTGCTACATGCCCTGCCCGTCTCATCCTGTTTGACTTGATCATTCTAATCATGTATGATGATTACTATAAGTTATTAAGCTCCTCAGTATGGAGATTTCTCGACTCCCCATCCCTTTATCTCTCTTCGGCCCAAATCAGATACTTTTTTTCACCGGCCCTAAAGCCCCCTTGGGCTGTGGCCTTTGATTTTCAGTTTCATGACAATTTTACAGACGCTAGGACTCCTTGGCCCAGTGATCAGCTCGTCGCAAGACCTATATCTAAACACAGGACAACACAAACACAGAATAAACACATACACATACGAAACATCCATGCCTTGTGTGGGATTCGAACCCACGATCCCCGCTTCCGAGCGAGCGAAGACAGTACATGCCTCAGACCGCTCGAATACCGTGACCGGCAGAAAGGGTATTGGTGAATCATATCTTACAAATGGATTAATGTAACAAACCCACTGCGTGGAAATCGTATACTTAAAAGACCTACTTTGGGATTGGCCGAGTCTGTTTACGGTTCCTCAACTTCTGAAAATTATCGTAGACGACCCCGATGTTCAGTTCGGCCAACATTACTCTAGAACCCGATAAAAAGTTTATATAAACTGCAAATAAATATAATGCTACTTCTGATACCATCGCAAATTATTTTCTGCGTCAGCAGAGCCCCTACAAAGGAACCCAGATCACACAAAGTGACAAACCAGGTTTAAGCAGAATCATAACTAACCCCACGGAGCACACAGGTTAAGAAATTAGTAATCCCCACCCATCAAGCTGTAATGCTCATTACCGTAACCACTAGTTCACGCCACTGGTCATCATCGGTAGCCAGATAAGCCTAGTCCGTGCCCCCATTTCTTATTGTGGTTCAGTATTATCCTTCCACCTGCGCTTTGATCTTCCAAATAGGCCCTTATTTTTATGTTTTCCAACTAAAATTCTGTGTCTATTTCTCACATATTTTCCAAGAGTACTACACGCCCGTACTATCTGAGCCTCTTTGATATGATCACTCGGATGCCATCTGGTGACAATTTCTCGTCATTATCCAGTTTTCTCCAGCTTGCTATTAGTTCCTCCCTCCTAAGCCCAATATCCTCCCCAACATCCTGTTCTGAGTTGTAGCATTTAAAATAAGTAAGTAAAGGTACCCCTGTAACAGGCTGTGGAGGCCCATAGGGTTGTGTGATGTTGAGGTTCCCACATTTTCTAGACAATCGGCTCATAGATGGCGGCAAGCTTGTCAGCCCTACGCGCCGGCCGCCTTTTAACCCTAAGGATATCCCAAGAATATTCCTGGTACTCATTTCTGTTAGAGGCTGAATCGACCCCAGGGCCATAGTGCGGCTGGAAGGCCATGAAGTCATATGGGGAGTGAAGGTATAGCTCCACACATCTCGACGGGGGTGAGTGGTCAACTTCACGACCCTGCCTCTTTACCCCTGGGAAAGAGCCCCCGGTACCCATTGCACAAGAGGCTGGGGGGGGGGTCCCAAAACCGTTCTGGACACTGTGGAGGCGAGAAAATTTCCGACCCCTGCCGTGAATCGAACACTGGCCATCCAGATCATAGCCCGGCTCTATACCGACTGAGCTACCCCGGCTTCTTTTCATTAGTAAGTACCAGATGAAATCTGCAATTAACTTCCATTCTTTAGAGTGACGTCAGGGTAACATAATTCTGAATGCTCCAATTCATAACTTCACTGACAAATCTGGCAAAACCTCTAAGGAAGGCTGTGGCTCAAAAGGGGCCCTCTTGCCAATGATGATGATGATGACGATGATGATGATGATGATGATGATGGTTTACTCGTTGGAGGATTCGTAAAGTATCAAGCGTTTCAGAACTATGCGACACATTCACTTGGATCTTAATTACAACTGGACATACAGAACACCACAGAAAATTTTACTTATTAATTAATTCAACCACTCGTCCAAAAAGTCGTACTCACTGTATAAAAAAGATTACGAAACTGAAGAAGAGGCCGGAGCCCAACAAAAGGCTGTACAGCCATTGATGAATGAATGAATTAATTCAACTCATATTCTATTTTGCTAGTATCTAATGATGTTAGACCGTTTTCTAGTGACGAAATCGTTTAAAAATATGCGTAGGCCTACTCCCCCCACCCCTCCACGGTCAGTATGATAGTTAGTTCAGCTACCAGCTTCTTACATTCTCTGACACTGATGTATGTATTTGTCTGCAGTATGGCATGCGACCCATTCTAATGGCGGCCTGGCATGGACATAAGGACGCCGTCCAGATGCTCATCAACTGCGGCGCCAACGTCGTCGCTGTCAACAAGGTATGTACCAGTGCCATTAATCACCTTGTAATGTAACTTAATTTCTCCTGGGAGAGGAAAGAATACGTGGTACATTTAACAGCTTTCATCTCACGCTACCAGAAGAGGGTGGCCCAGAATCTAAACGCGAAGTTTCACATGGAATTCTGTAAAATCGAAGTATCGTTGCAGAAACCGAAAGTTCGAACCTGCTGACACCAAAGCTGGTCTTCGGACAAGGACGATTCGGAACAATTTCCGTCCATAGGATTTCACGTTCTCAGAGCGATGATTAGTTGAAAGCCAAACGGCATTTCGGAGGAACATATCGCCTCCATCTTCAGGGTCGAAAACATTGACCAAGTAAGATATAAACATGAAAGCGAATGCCATCTCCTTTCAAGCTGGTTACTTGCTCCGTTCATTCTTCGACCCTGAAGATGGAGATGTTCCTACGAAACGCCGATTGACTTTCAACGGACTACACGACGTTATATCCCAGAAGATAACTTTCTTAAATTTTCATCCGTTTCCCATTTTTACCAAGTGCCTCCCTAAAATTCGTCTCACAAACATAGGCATGCTGTTTTTATTCATCTGTCAGTATAGTCATTAGGCTGCGGGGTTCCATCCTGGGCAGAGGCAAGAGATTTCTCTCTTGTTCACAAAGCCTAAGCCGACAGCAGCGTCCCAGTTGGTAAGGGTGAGAATCTGACCCCTCACCCCCACTCTCAGCGCCGAGGTCAAGACCGCTTGAGCTGTACATTGAGTCCCTCTTGTCTGCAGGGCGCGGGGCTTAATTATACTCAGGAATGAATATACACGTATTCGTCCATCAATATGTTTCATTTCTAAAACCATTTAATGATTTCGATGACAGTTTATTTGCCTGTCGCAGTTCTACAGAAGAAGTTAATGGAATAAATTAATCATAGCCCTATCTTAAAACATCTCGTGGAAAAAAAAGTAAATTAATGTATAAGGCTGAAGTTGTCCCTGTGCTTAATTAATTCAGCATCGCGCAATTAAAGCGTGTGCGAGAGTGGAAGCACAGTTTGAAATTTTTTGACCTCAGCACTAGATTAAATGATCTGAAAGCTTCACGTCCCGGACGCTTTACCTCCTGGGGAAAGAGTCCCCAAACCCAATTGGATAGGAGCGTAGGAGGGTCCCATAGCCGATCTGGACACCGTGGATAGAAGAAAAATCTCATACCTCTGCCAGGAATCGAACCACGGCCGTCAAGTCCGTAGTCCATCGCTGTACCGACTGAGGTTCCCCAGCTTCTGAATTAATGTCTGTGTATATTCCACAAGAGAGTCCCTATGAAACGTTGGTTTCTGTCTACCGTTGTAGAAGGCCTACCATGAAACTGTAGTCAGCAACTTCCTCCGAAACGCTGGTTACAGTCTGTCAGGTTACGCAGCTTCACTTCTCAGTAGACAATCTTCACCTTCACCTCGCGTGTAGGCCTGTGTGATCCGGCTGGAGGTTGAACGCTGGTTTGAGACTGGCATAAATTAAACTCGGGGACAAATTTACCGCTTACGCCTGTATATGGGAAAGTAAAATTAAAAATTGTACTCGTAATTAATCATCACGTAATTCTTAGTCTGTGCAGTAGATCAAAGTGAGCGGCTAGTTTCGCGTTCTGTCCGCCTTACTCCCGAAGAAAGGGTTTTCAGTCACTCACTTACTTACTTACTCATGGAACTGAGCCCTTCTTGAGAAGCCGCCAATTCTGCAGATACTCAAGAATTTTCCTGCATTTTATGGAACCAAAAGGTTCATTACCGTGTTCACAAGAGCCCTCCAGTGGTCCCTATTCTGAACCAGATCAATTCAATCCATACCATCCCATCCTGTCTCTCTAAGATCCATTTTAATATTGTCCACCCACCTACGCCTTGGTCTTCGCAGTGGTCTCTTTCCTTCTGGCTTTTTCACCAGTNTGTCATACCACGTGTGTCTGCAGTCTTTTGATTTGGTTTCAATCATCGCGTGTATTATCCCATCATGAAGAGTTACTCCTCCCGTCAAATCTTGGTCGTTAGAGTATTAGACATTATTACTTAGGATTAGACCCTCCGCATTAGTCCAAGAGTCCTTGTTCTATGAGTATATATCGGGACCACCCCCAAAATTCCTAATGGCAATCCCCTCCCCCAGTTACTACTCAGGGGACGCGCCCCTTGACGATTAGAGGATCCACCAAAGATAAAAAAGTAAAAACCTGAATAGAAGAAGTAAATGAGAACCCGCGATATACTTGTACATGCTGTATTGTATGTAACTAAGGTCACATGAAGAGTGTCCAAGTTAAAACTCACGTACGCCTTAGCCCTGTGAGCGAGAATATGACATCAGAATTGGCAAAAAAACTTACACTGACGGCAAACCAACGCTGCAGCTTCAACGTCCCGTCTCTCGCTCCTGAGAAATTGGTCGGGTTGGAGGTATAAGTCCCTTTCTGGCTACAAGCGCTGTGCTGCCTTTCCTCCCTGTAAAATCGCGCTTTCTAAAATTACGAACCAATTTCAGATACTCGTATGGCATCTTTACTTCCAGTGTCCCAAACGCCTTCATGTCTTTGTGATAAATTAATCTCGGGGACAAATTTACCGCTTACGTCTATATATGAGAACGTAAAATTAAAGATTGTACTCGTAATTAATCACCACGTAATTCTTAGTCTGTGCAGTAGATCAAAGTGAGCGGTTAGTTTCGCGTTCTGTCCGCCTTACTCCGGAAGAAAGGGTTTTCAGTCACTCACTTACTTACTTACTCATGGAACTGAGCCCTTCTTGAGGAGCCTCCAAATCTGCAGATACTCAAGAATTTTTCTGCATTTTATGGAACCAGAAAGTTCATTACCGTGTTCACAAGAGCCCTCCAGTGGTCCCTATTCTGAACCAGATCAATTCAATCCATACCATCCCATCCTGTCTCTCTAAGATCCATTTTAATATTGTCCACCCACCTACGCCTTGGTCTTCGCAGTGGTCTCTTTCCTTCTGGCTTTTTCACCAGTATCCTACATACATTCCTCGTCTCTCCCATTCAAAGAGTTCTCACTACATCTCGTAAATGCTGAGTGAGAGCAAAGCTGGTCTGCAAATCAAGCTAAGGAGTTAAACCCGGATTGTCCATCTTATAGCTACCCCTGCTCCCAGTCCTCCCGCGGAACAGCAGTCAACACCGGTGTGGCACACCGGCAGAGCAGTTCCCTTATGCACTTTATTACATTCTTTCTTAGAAGTTGGCTGTTATTTCACAACGCTGTCAGTAGCTAGACCATGCTGTGTCCCACGTTTGTTATCAAAACGCGGTAGAGAAGAGTGTACAATCATAATTACTCAGTGTGTGCGAATCATGTAATCCCTCCTCCCCCACCGAAACACATAAAGTCTAGATAAAAATAAAATTGTCCCTGTACTTAATTAAGTACCACTCCATGAAGGAGCTTGAAAGGTGAACGTTAGCTCCAAGCATAATCGGCACTAGATGGAGTTACGTGGTCCTCTTCTCACAGAGAGTAAGAGCCCCCGTCGCTCATTGGATGGGAGGCCAGAACAGTTCTGGTTGGTCTGAATGAGATGTGATCTCTTTTCCTGAAGGAAATCGAGCCACGATACCTCGGTCGTCCAGCACATATCCTAGTTGCTTCACCGACTAAGCTGTTGTGACTCTCACATTTAATTCATACTGAGTAAATGCGGGAAAGTGAAGGTACTGGAAGGCAGCATTCCAGCATGAGCCGGATGATATGCCGGTGTTGTCGGTAACACGGAAAAGCCATTACCGGAGCCACAAATAAGTTGGAGAAACTTCATGACAAATTTGTGACAGTGGGGGCGGATGGAATGAAATATTTGTGATTCTAAAAACGACTGCGTAATGGAGATAACAGCTCCGGATGTCAGTAGGACTGATCTGTAGAGAAAATAGAGCATAATATCAGAGTGCATGAAAAGAGGGGTGTAGGAGAAGGAAATCTGTCCGTATACGTCAAATGAAATTATTATTTGAATCCTCCCCTCCTTCATGTTCCCCCAAGCGTCCGTCTTGTCACTCTACCGTAATCCCATAATTCCATGTACCACATGACTCCGACTTCCTCCAGTTGTTTATGAATATTTTTTATTGCCAGTGGGGTGGGACTAAGTCCCTTGTACTGCGGCCACTTCTGGCCTATTGTACCAGCCCCAGATGATAGGTGAGGGTGATTGTGGAGCAATTGGTGGAATGAAGATTGGCAGGGGAAACCGAAGTACTCGGAGAAAACCCTCCCCAGCGCCACTTTGTCCACCACAAATCCCACTTGATCGAACCCGGGCCGCCGCCGTGGGAAGCCAGCGACTAACCGCTTGAGCTATGGTTATGAATAACTGGAGTTGGAAGTTGGTCTTTGGTTTGGCAGCTGACGGCGGAGTAGGTGAGGAAATTCTGTTCAGTTTCCTTGTTCTGAATTATGTTTGGATTCTCTTTCCGGCCGTTAAGGACGAAGGACCGCCTTGTTGCAACGGGTGCGTCGGGATAGTTGCAACAGCAGTTTCAGTGGGGCTTTATTTTACGAGTATTATGTGGTTGGACCTGTATTGTCCCCTTTTGTGTGATTACTTTGGAAACTTAAAAGCAGTATTTTGCTTGTCATCGGCCGAGCGAAGTGGTCACTAAATCCTGTTTTTACTGAGTCTTCTAAATTATGTTGGCATGTTTTGCTCCGGCCGTTGAGGGCAAAAGGCCGCCTCGTTGCAGCAGTATGTAAGTTTTTCTTTTTACCGTTTGGGGAAAGTCTAACGAGAGTTTGTTTGGTCTTATGTTTTTGCTTATTTGGGCTTGTTGCTGCCCAATTTAGTGCTGTAGTAAGGCCAGATAATGGGATAATATTGCGATTTGGGTTATCTCGCAATATTATGTGAGTTTGGTCATTTTCTAGGTCTGGGGTAAATAGACGGCTCCGAGTGGCTGCTTTATGTTTGCTTTTCTTTGCATCGGGTTTCAGTCTGGACTGATTAGGGTGTTCAAGGGTATAGATTCTTATGCATATATGAAGTACTAATGGAGTGGTTTAAGTCTTATTTATTTTTTATTGTTATTAACCGTTTTTGTCTACTAATTTTGGAGATCCACTCTTTTCTTACCGAAGCTACACTTGGATACCCTGTTCCATCTGGGGAGCACTGAAAAAATGACGACGGAACCAGGGACAAAAATAGCGACCGTCCCCAAAATGTAGGGTAAAGAGGAGAGGAGCTGCTAATTTTTTTCTTATGTTTTTGTCGACTGAATGAAATATTCTACAAATTTGATTTGTTTCATTCTGGTCCGTCACACTAACAATTACAAATATAAATCACTCCGTCCAATGTGACCTGTAAGTTTATTACTACATGAAAACTTAACATCCTTACATGTTTCGGTCTCTGCGGAAAACAGCACAGCAGCCACGAGCAAACCCTGGAAGATAAAAAGAACCTCCACATCAAGATAGACAGGTGGCACAATATCTGCCCCATACAAGAGGGACGATGGGAGGACGAACACGAGCCTGCATGGTTTACGAATTTTAATTATTGACAATACAAAAAAAGAATTTTAATTAGCATCAAGAAATTTTATATAATTTTTTAAAAACTTTACATTCCCAGGAAACTGCTGTGTTTGTGAAATGTTCTATTTTGTGTACCATGCATTGTAGCATATAAGTGTACGTACTTTACGTCTAAACAACTTATGTGATTGTGGTTTCCTATTTGTAGTGATGTTTGCCCTCTGAAGATGGTCCGCAGAGACCGAAACATGTAAGGGTGTTAAGTTTTCATGTAGTAATAAACTTACAGGTCACATTGGACGGAGTGATTTATATTTGAAACATTCTACGTTCAGAAACTGACGAATCAGGGTATTAAGGCAATGTTTAACAGCAAGTGGTGGGCAGTTTAATTTCCACCGGTCCTCATTCTGTAACACTGCTTACAGTCCGACAAAGTAAAGGAATAGTACAGAAGATACTGGTAACAGCATCCTGTGAGAATGGACCCTGACAGGACCAACCCATTGAAGAAAAGAGTATGTTATCAGTCCAAAGGAAGGAGAAGACCTCTGAAAGGAGACAGTGATGCCGTGTCTTGATGTCGGTAAGAGGGCTCAGTAGGCCTCTTACTAAAAAGGACGACGACGGTGGTGACGGTGGTGACGGTGGTGACGGTGGTGGTGGCGATGGTGGCGTTTGTTTCAAAAGCTTGACCATGCTGCGCAAAGTTTAAGATAGTTTAAACACCACAAGTTCTCAATTGTCGATATAAGCAGATAAGTCATTTGCTTTAGCCTTGATCGCTGTAATCTCCAGTACAAATTTAATGTACGAAAGGAAGATATCGGGAACATGCTTAGCAGATGAATGGAATGAAATATTTAAGCACTCAAAGTCAGGTTCGTAATACATATGTTAGGCAGAAGCCATAAGCCCTAAACACCTGAGCTCTGCAACTGATTTTATCCAGACCTGAAGGCCGCGTCATAGCTCAAGCGGTTAGTCGCTGGCTGCCCACCGCGACGGCCCGGGTTCGATCCCGGGTCTGGTCAAGTGGGATTTGTGGTGGACAAAGTGGCGCTGGGGCAGGTTTTCTCCTAGTACTTCGGTTTCCCCTGTCAATCTTCATTCCACCAGTTGCTCCACAATCACCCTCATCTGTCATCTGGGGCTGGTACAATAGGCCAGAAGTGGCCGCAGTACCAGGGACTTAGTCCCACCCCACTAGAATTAAAAAAAAATTCAGACCTGAGGGAAGACAGATGTTTTCTTGCTCGGAAATTAAAATCTAGAACAAAAAATTTGATCAAGAACTATTTGTTCATATTGTAATGTTCAAGCTACGACACCACACAACCTCGTACATAAGTATCAACGTTTCAGATGAATATACTGCTTCCATCTTCAGGGTAGAAGGCCACAGTTTGACGCTTCTTCATTGTTGGAACTTCAGATCTGGTATATCATTTTATATTTCGAGCACACTACTTTACGTATTTGTTCGTTGCTCGTTTTGTCATGAGATATTTGAAACTGATTAAGTCTTGTGATGTTTCACATGCAGCAAAATATTTTGTTTCTGTATTATTTCTTATATATAAAAATGATAAAGTGTTGTGATTTTGAAAAAGGATTCTGCCTTGATGTTTCGCAGGATTTACTTGTTTTCAGTTCTCCTGAATACGAATAATTTTTGGAATGCCCTCTGTCTGTCTGTATATATACTCGTATATGTGTGCATACGTTTCTAGCGCCTGAACTCTGAGGTGAAATTTATTAGTATTCGGAATTTAATAATTTATTCAGCATGTGTTATTTCCTGATGAATATAAACATTGTAGGTTAAAAAATATATGTGCATCAGATGGGTCCAAAAATGATGATTTTGTCGAAAAAAAGCTCCGACGATTTCAATTGAAATTCATTAAGCAATGCAGACCATTATCCTAAGTGGAAATGCATAGAGAGCATCTTCATGAAAGCAATGATACGCGCACTAGGGTCACACACACGAAATATCACTTTCCTCGCGAAAGCCGTTAACAGATAAATTTTATGACATTTATTTCCGGATAACCCAAGGCTGGGGGTCCTCAGACACATTCAGAATCACTACACAGAAACTGTTAAAGTAACGCATACATCTAGCTCATACAATCAACAATGATCTACCATACAACAATTATTTTCCAGAGTAACGGAGTCAAGGTCAGTCGTGTCTGAGGAAGTCTTAGCGCCGGATATCTTGTAGAATTCAGTGTTCAGCTGTACCTCCACTTCTGTGGGCTTCTCTAAATGTTTCCGGTAATGACTGACTCACTGTGTTCACTGCCTTTGGGACTTGGCTCAACTCCCGTCTTCGAGTGACTGAAGCTGGCTCACGCGGTAATGCTTCTGACGCCATCGGGTTTTACCTGCTTTGAATCTGGCCGGGACACTGACAATCATTACTGCGGTTCTCGTACTTTTATCATTCCCTCCAGTCGAATTCAAGAATATTAACTTGAAATAGGCCACGGCCGCTTCCTTCCTTTTCCATTCCAATTAATTCAAGCACCCTATAATTCTATGCTGCATAGTTTGAGCTGCTGGAAACATCGTTAACCGTGAACAAAAAATTCAGTTGTCATACTGACAGATTTGTTACCTATTACATTTTATTTTTTTGAGGTCCATATTTCCACTCTTCCATACGTATTCATGGCTTGATGCTTAATTAATTAAGCTCACGCACAAATTTGGTTTTACTTTTCGTAGTTGAGATAAAACCCTGGATAATTTAATTATAGTTTGTTCCTTTTCTTTTGATGCTTGGATGAAAGCCATTCAGAAGGGAGCTATGTGACAGGGTGTGCCGGATTCCAGTCTGGTCACGCCTTGTAGTGTCGAAGTACCAAGCGTTACCAACTGACTAAAATCGGACAAAGTTTGCCTAGCTCTTCGTCCTCGTCCTCCGCGTCGACGTCGTGTGCTGTGAAAACCATCCTGTCTTGTTTACGTACCATCTGTTTTGCATCTTTCAAACCACTCAGTTTCCTTGTCTAAATGATGAATCGTAACAATATTGCACTGCACTGCACTGAACTACTCAGGACAGAAAGGTCTCTTACCCCTGTCAAGCAGCGAGTAGAGGCCTTGGCTGAGGGATATCCCCAACTGCTTATTTTAATTGGCTGTATAAGAAAAGTAATGGATTATACATGTAGTAGGCTACTGAACTAACTAAACGGCCAGTGTTAAAGTGGTTAGTGACAACGCCAATTCTACAACAGCTGCAGTACTAAGCTAATACGCCAATGATGTGGCCAGTGCTAGGAAAGCACGCTAACCAAGCTGCCAACAGTAGGCTAATACTAGGTCAGCATGAAAACTACTCTACCAGTGCTAGGCATGTGCGCTAACCACGTAGCAAATATTGGGCTAGTATACTAACCATACACCTGATGACGTGAATGAACGAAATTCTCGAAAAATAATGTAAAGTATACCATATATGCCTGCAACAGTGGGAAATTTCGAGCATAATTGTTCCTTCCGTAACCTTGTACTGAGTCCGATTGCCCCTTTCCTTCTTGTTGCAGAAGCACTACACAATTCTGATGTGCGCTGCTCGCAACAACCGCTCTGAAGTCGTGGACTTCCTGCTAGACACGCTTGAAGACATCAGGGTGGACACTGTGGACCTTGAACAGCAGACCGCTCTGTACCACGCCGCTCTGGGTGGACACGCAGGGATAGTACGACGCCTGGTGGAGGCGGGAGCGAAGACTGATGCCAGGAACAAGGTACCACTGCACACTGTCACCCTGTTTAGGGATTCTATGAGCGTCAGAACGTTTCTTATTATGCTAGACATTCTGGTTGTGCAAAATATTTCAAAACTAGTGTTCTAATTGTTTTACGGTTGGGAAACATATTTTTTCGCCTTGAAGGAAGGTCGTAGATTGAGGATAGCTGAGAGATTATTTTGTATCTAAGAGAGAGGAAGTAAAAGAAAGAGGGAAAATTTCGTAAACATCAACTGAGGGGCTTCATATCAGTACTCCACAACAAGTACTAGTGTCAAGGTACTGGGCCATCGACACAAATAAGAAGTACATTCATTTTAATAAAATTAATTAAATCAATAAAATATATCAATAATTTAATAAATTTTACCGTCTCATTCACCACGACATGTTTCGCTACCATGGACCATCATCAGATGGTTTTTTAAATAAATAAAGAGCAACGTTATAGAATTGCAGAGTTAAAGGGTTCCATTTTTTACAATGAAATCTCTGAATAAAAGTACAAAATATATTAGGCCTATAAAATGAGAGGCTATGGAAGGGACATGTACTAATGGAGGAGGTAACAAGTACATAACAAAAATTTTAGCCAGAAACTCTGAAAAGAAAAATCACTTGCAAGACCTATGAGAGGATAATATTTTGATGAATGTTAAGGAAATAAGATGTAGGTAAAGTGTAAAGTTGTCCCTGTCCTTAATTAATTAAGCACTATGCCATGAAGACATGGGGAAGTGGAGGTAAAGCTACACCATTCCTGACCTCGTCACTAGATGGAGATGTGTAATAGGATGTAAACTGGATTCAAATGGCTATAGATAGGCTCAAATACACACAAAATTCAGCCTTCATAATAACCTGGAATTTCTTGACTAGTGTAGTAGCTAGTAGCTTATTCATTTCAATCCTTTATCTTCTGTGGTATTTTACTTGTCACACTTTTGGTGCATAAGCAGGCTAAAAGAAAGAAAGGAAAAACACTGAAGACGATTACAGCGACCGCCTGGTCTAAAACATCTAGTGCCTTCTACCGCTCGAACACTGGGATCATAGGTTCGAATCCACTCGGTTCCTTTACGTGTGGGGTCTTTCTGTGCCTGTGTAGTCCTGTGTAGGTAATGCCTTGCGATACACCGATCCCCACCTAAGAAGGCTCTTACTAAATATCTACAAATGAGATTCTGAAACACGGAAAATGGAGACCATGGACTACACTGGTCCGTCGTGGCACAGAAGGAAAGCAAAAATAAGAATAAGCCAGCGTGAATAGACTTGAAAGGACTTTGACGATGGTGCATGCTGTACAGCACTATTAAGCTTATTTTTGGACTCAAACCATCGTCTGGTATATATAAGACAAGAACCACAACGTTTCGGAGATTGGATCTGTCTCCGTCCTCAGGTTGATGGGGCAGGATATACTTACTCAGTCGGGCCCGTTAGAAAGAGCTGGTCTCAATCACTGGACAAACCCCGGTCAGTAGAGAACAGCCTATAAACACGTGACAACAGGTTCCATCCGTGGGAGGTAAAAATAAAATCGTTATAAAAGACAAGATAGAACTTTTGTGCCAAGCATGCACATATCAAAAATGTGATAAAACAGTGGTATGGATTAAGTGCCCTAGTTTTTAACTTAATTCCTGGAACTTAAAATCCTTCCCTACCCACCTGAGGACGGAGACAGATCCAGTCCGAGGGGGGATCCAGAGTTCGAGTCCCGGTACGGTCAAGAATTTTCTCCACGTCTGGCTTGGCCCACCCAACCCCCTAACCAATATGTACTTGGAGCAAAGTGGCCGGGGCGTGAAGCTGACCACTCACCTGCAGTTAGTTCCGAGATAAAAAAATGTGGATTTATATATCCACCCCCATACGCCTTCATGGCGTAGTACTTAATTAGTTAAGCACGTAATCCATACCATCCCATCCTATCTCTCTAAGATCCATTTATATTGTTCACCCACCTACGCCTTGGTCTTCCCAGTGGTCTCTTCTCTTTTGGCTTTTCTACCAATATCCTATATACATTCCTCTTCTCCCCAATTCGTGCCCACCTCATCCTCCTTGACTTGATCATTCTAATTATACTTAGAGAAGAGTGCACTTTATGGAGCTCTTCATTATGCAGTTTTCTCCAACTTTCTTCAATTGAAAAATGATTGTTAAGAAGAGAAAGAAACTAAAAATCCGACCGAGATTCGAAATGGACATATCTCTTATTAAAGCCATGCACCTCACCCAGTTGCACTCCCTTGAATACCTGGGTCACATCTAAGGACTTCCGCTTAATTTCGCTGGGTCACACATCTGGTAAAATTAAACACCAGATTTCTTTAAGGCTGAAAATGAAATGTGGAGACGCTTTACTTGTTTATTGGTCTCTTAAACTAAAATCCGTATGCCATTCATAAATAAGGAGGTCTGTTTATGGGGTAGCGGGTTGTAGACTGGGACTGCGATATGCATGCGCTCGACAATGCTTCCCGGGGGAGCAATGTGGCCATGAGGCTGATGTCTTCAATTTCAGGTCGTTCCGTACTTTCGTCGTTGCCACGTAAAATGTTTCATTCACTAAGCTACTGCTTATTCTGCAGGGTGATTCGTCTGTCATTTTGAACTCTAGTTCAGTAATAACTGCTGTAAAGTAACTCATCATCTTAAGAAAGTTCAACTAACAAAATGAACAGGAATTTTTAATGGATAAACTGAGGTAAGACGCCGTACTGGCAGAAATTGTCTCACCTCCTAGTTAATTCAATTCTGATGGAGAAGAAGCCATTTTATTTAGCGTCGTAGAGGGCCTTGACGTGATACACAAATTTCTTTTATTTATATCCATTTTAATTGGGCCCCTTTTCACAACGGCATTGCGTGTCCGCAGGTTGCTGTTGGAAGAGACGGCTTCCAGATGTGGAGGGTAGCTGCGAATATATTGAATAAGAGGCCGCGGATAGCCGACGAGAGGTTATCCTCCAGCTTGGGAATAAAACTATTTGCCGTAAAAAATAATTTTGTTACGAAATGTCACAAATGTCGAACATTCTTTGGATAAGCGACCTGAGCTAAGGAATATGGATATGAGATTTTACACGTGGAATGTACGGTGTCTATATAAGGCAGGTTCGATTATGACAATGGCATGTGGGGTGGTATGAACTAGATTGATCTGGCTCAGGATAGGGACCAGTGAAGGACTCTTGTGATCACGGTAATGAACCTTAGGATTCCATTCAGTGTTGAGAAATTCTTGAGTGGCTGCGCAGCTGGCGGCTCCTCAAGAAGGACTCAACTCCATGAAGTTGGTTATTTTATTTACAGATACATCCTATTTCATCTCTTTTACAGAGCTTATACCTTCAGTGTCTTCATGAAGTTTTATAAACTTCTACAGTGTATAGGTGTACAACAAGTATTAATAAAATTAAAGGCCTTTCTTGGGTTTCTGTTTAAAGGCGGGGTGTTAGCCTCCAGCTCTTTGTCCTTAGAGGTTAAATATCATATGAATACTAGTGTAACAGCCGTTGAGAATTAAACGGGATTTCTCGTCATGTGTGAGAAAAACGTTCGTATCATTCACGTCCCCTATGTTGTCCCCAATTCCTTTCCAATCTTCCATGCCATAGAATGATTTCTTAAGGACGAAGTTTAATGCCTTCTCCCACGTATCGCACGCACAAAATTCAACCGTGTACCATCACTTGTACATATATACCCGTAGTATTCCACATTACATTCATTCGTATCAGAATATTGAAGGAATAATGGAAGAACCGTGCTGTATTCACGTTCGTACGAGTAAGACTGTGGCATCAGGAGCTGTATTTTGGCGTCCGTGCGCAGGCGGGAAAATTACGTGGGGATCGCAGCGCGCAGAGATAAAGCGCGGGGCCGTACGGACATGTCTCCGTCATGTTTCCAGCCGTACTGCGTTCTCAAGTTCTACCGCTGTTGAACTCTAACTCATAGTCCTCCATGTCACTCGCGTTTCTTCCCCGCGCTGGAGTAACTACAGCATGGCCGCGCCATAGCTCAAGCGGTGAGTCGCTGGCTTCCCACCGCGGAGGTCCGGGTTCGATCCCGGGTCTGGTCAAGTGGGATTTGTGGTGGACAAAGTGGCGCTGGGGCAGGTTTTCTCCGAGTACGTCGGTTTCCCCTGCCAATCTTCATTCCACTAGTTGCTACACACTCACCCTCACCTATCATCTGGGGCTGGTACAATAGGCCAGACGTGGCCGCAGTACAAGGGACTTAGTCCCACTCCACTAGCATTAAGAAAAAACTACATCATGAACCCTGCGTACATCTGATTCCAGTTTTTTAATTTGTAAACCGCTAGGGTAATTTGCTTTAATGTGGAGAATTTTGTTTACAGTGAAGTACTGTTAGGCAAATTAAGGGTCATTCGGCAAGATCCAAAAAATCCAAAAAATATATTAAATTTTGGCCTTGTGGTCGACTCACCTTCTAACAATAATGAGTACCAGGAATATTCTTGGGGATAAAGGGCGGATGGCGCGTAGGGCTTACAACCTTATCGCCATCTATGGGCCGATTATTTAGAACATGTGGGAACCTCAACATCTCACAATCTTATGGACTTCCACGGCCTGTCACAGGGATACCGTTACTTTACTTTTAATATATAAAATTTTCCATTCTGAAACCCCTCATGTTTTAAAGGATATGGTCTCTACTTTCTTCGTCGCTTAGTCTTCGATGTAAACACACGGAGAAAAAACCTTATTCACGACATCTTCTGTGTCTGTGTGGAGTGTCTTTGCTTCTGTGGCAGGGAATTGATAGCGCAAGAACGTGAAAAGTTCGTCCGTGTAACCACAGTGTTTCTTCACCTCATGTCCGCCCATTTTCGTTTAGCCACGCGAAAGGCAGAAACAGAAAGTAATATTCGTATTATCTTAGCCCACGATAATAGTCAGCCGGGCGAAGTAATCGAGAAACGTCAGAATATTCTGACACTCTGGGGCTCACAAGAAACTGAGTACGTTACGAATTAAATATGGTCAGTGATGGATTAGCAGTTCGATATATTGTGACGTGTATACTCATTGCTAGGCAACGAATCGGTAAACATATTCCCACGCGAGACAACGCGCAAGAAGAGGATGCCCACTGCTAGGCAACGAATCAGTAAACATGCCTCCTTAACAATAGAGGCTGTTTTCTATGTTGTCCGTGCCGAGGTATTATAAAAGGACACAGTCAGGAGACGCGACCAAGTAGAGTAGAGTAGTCGAGAAGAGTAAGAGTTGAGTTTCGGGATGTTAGCCCGCCAGAATATGAGCTTGGGATTAGATGAATTGAATCGAGTCGAGACTTCGGAATTGGCAGCTGAAGAATAATAGCAAGAAAGGAATTTGGCTGTGGAAAGAAGACTTCATGTGTGATTTGAAGTGATAGTGAGACTGTGATAAATCCGTTGCCAGGAGACGACTAGTGAAGACTGAGAATCCTGGTGCGTGTGTAACGGCGAACTGGAAAGTGTGTAGAACAGCAATAAGCGCTCTATTACCTGTAGTCCCGAAATATTAATGTACAAGGTACAATAAATCCAATCATCCACTCTTCCTATAAGTCACTCCTACACATGGAAATGTGGTTGAGGAGGCAGAGGACAAAGTTTGGGGTATATACATTCAGAAATTCTTTCATATATGACATTCCAGCAAGGGAGGACGCCTTTGCACGCCGCCTGTGAGAAAGGTCATGTGGAAGTCGTCGAATTCCTGTTGCGCCATGACGCGGAGCTAGACGCACGCGATGAGGATGGGAACAGCCCTCTACACACGGCAACGGAAAATCAACAGACCCAAGTTGTGCAGTTACTCCTGGACAATGGCAGCCAGCCAGACGCAGAGAACATGGTGAGTGGAGCTGTAATACAGCGCTTGCTTTGACGTATGCATGATGTTACTGCACGTCCGAATGATCCACATCTGGTACTGTACATTCGTTCTCGATTAAATTATGGTCTATACCGAAATTTGTTGAACAAATTTTGATTTGTTCCATGTAGTCCCCTAGTAACTTCTGCTTTATACGATGTAGTATTTCACCTTTATATCAAGCTTAAATTGCTGCCCAGTCTACAACAAATTGCCACACAATGTAAGACATTTGTTCAATAGTGTGAATAGTAGCATGTGAATTCAATGTTTATTTATTAGAAGTGAGGAGTTATTCAGTTTTTCTAAAGCAAGGCATTTCGAAAATTAAATAATATCACATTCCTTTCTGAAGAGCCGGGTTAGCGTAGTCGGTATAGCGACTGCCTACGGGCTGGACGACTGGGGGTCGAAGTTCGAGTCCGGTAGGATCAAGAATTTTCTGCAAATCGCCCAGACCGGCACTGGGATCCACCCAACCTCCTGTACAATGGATACCGGGAGCTCTTTCCCCGGCGGTAACGTGGCCTGGGCGTGAAGCTGACCATTCACCTCAAGTTAGTACCGCGGTCAAGAAAATGTGGATCTATTCATCTACTCCCCCACATGCCTTCATGGAGTAGTGCTTAATTAGTTAAGCACAGGAACGACTTTACCTTGCACCTACTTAAGGACGCCGGAATCCCATTCAACTGCCGTCCCAAGCCTCAAAATACACATATGAATAGAAGTTTCATTACACTAATGCAATGCGTGGGGTCTGGAAGCCTTTCAGTCAACCCCATTTATGGCCAGCAGGAAACTACCTTGTGTTTACCCTCAAAAATGGGATTCCTCATCATACTTCCTGTCCGCAGTTGCCTAGATTCTTATTTGTCAGTAACATAGAATTCGTCACTTCCTTCCTTCCTTCAAAATTATGTTGCTTCACAAGAGATAAGACATAATTTTCATGGACAGTTCGATTACAACGCCTCAACGTGATGGTGTGTTCAATTCAAATTGAGATATTTTCTCTTAGTTTCCCACCCTGTAATAATATTCTGCGGAATATAAAATTTGTTATACCCCACAAAAGTCAATGCGAAAATTCAGGTTTGAACTCTTTTATATAAAACGCATCATCAGTCTGCAACCAGACAAGTGTCAGGTCAGAGGTGAAGCCCTATACTTAAGAAGACAGGATGTGACTAAGTGCTGCTTGCTCAGGTCTCTCGCATATGTCAGTGGGCGATGAAGCAATGGCAGAATGGTGATTAGAGTGGGAAACCTTAGACACTGTGAGAGAAACATGCTTCAGTGCCACTTCGACTACCACGAATCTCTCATAAAATCACCAGTGATCGAACCCGGGCCTCCACCAGAGTCTAACCGCCTGAAATAAGACGAGGCTTTTCACTCTTTTTTTACATAATCTCCTTAAAATCCTCTAGAACTCTCAATATTCGCATGTCACTTTGTTAAGTCCAGTTTGATACATCGCTTTTGAATGCGTGATTTGTATTTATAGAAAGGATATACGCCTCTGCACGTAGCTAGCAGCAAGGGATCCAGAGGCATCATCGAAGCACTGGTGCAAAGTGGAGCTTCCCTCAATCGCCAGAGCAAAGTAAGTACGCTCAGACAAGTTTATGGTTTTCAGGGTGGTAAGTGTCTTGTGAATTGTAGTACAGTGTACCTACCTACCTACTTAACACTCGGCGCTACATCCCTGAATGAGCCTTGGCTTCCTCTACAACCAGTCTCCACTGCTCTGTGTTCCACATCTTCTCTATCCATCTCTATGCCTCCATACATACATGTATACATATATACGTAACATACATAAACACATACGTACATAGAAACACATTCGTGCATGCATATATATGTTACATACACACACATGTATGTATGTAAGGGGTGGGCCTTGAAAACCGGCCCCGGCACTGTGGCCTTCAGTGATCTATTGTGCTTGACACACAGATATACAAATATAGGTCTGCATGTGTCCGTGCTTATCACACACACATAAACACACATTCGCTTAGGACTGTACCGCAGATCGACAGATTGTTTGTAGACGTCAGCAACGGTCAGTAAAGAACACAACCAGCTATCACGTATCAAGGGAACATAAAGAGATGTTATTCGCGGTGTTCCAGGCCCTGGGCATAGGACGGTACGACCTTAGGTCTCTCGAACAGCCGTGCCATAGCTCACGTGGTTAGTTTCCGAATTCCTACCGGGGCGGCCCGGTTTCGGGCCCATGTCAGGTCATGTGGGATCTGTGGTGGACAAAGTGGAATTGTGGCAGGTTTTCACCGAGTAATTCGGTTTCCCTTGCCAATTCTTATTCCACCTATTGCTCCACAATCATCATCATCATCTGTCATCTGAGGCTGGTACACTAGGCCAAGGAGTGGCCGCAGTGCCAAGTGCACTCTCACCCCATAAGAAAAATAAAAAATAAAAATCCCTTGAATTCTATCGTCTCGATGGCCTGTGCTGTGATGTCACGTGACTTTGGTTGATCTGGTTCAGGGAGACCTCCTGTTGGCATAATGATAGTGGGTATAATCTCGAGCTTCGTGCATTTCTTGTGTCTGTTGCAGAATGGGAATACGCCCCTTCACTTGGCGTGCCAATCCAACGAGACGCAGACTGTGGAACTGCTCATAGCGAAAGGAGCAGACCTCAACGCGCTCAACGTGGTAAGATTTCGTCCAGCGATGACACGATCACAGCGACGGAGTCAGGGATCACATTAGTGACCTACTCTTCACCTTGGTATATTTCAATGTTCCTAAGCTGCTATAAGGAGCTGCAATAACTCAGTCGGTACAGCGACTGGCTACGGGCTGGCCGACCGAGGTGTCGGAGTTCGAGTCCCAGTAGGGTCAAGAGTTTTCCCTTCTCCACGTTGTCCAGACCAGATTTGTGGCCCACCCAGCCTCCTGTCCAATGGGTACTGGGGCCTCTTTCCCCGGAGGTAAAGCGGCAGGAGCGTGAAAATGACCATTCACTTCCAACTAATGCCGAGGTCAAGAAACTGTGGATCTATACATCCACTCCTCCAATCGCCTTCATGGCGTAATGCTTAATTACTTAAGCATGAGGACAAATTTAACTTAAGCTACAACAATTCTGAATTATGTCAGTTATTTTATCCTGTCTCTGACTATCAACAGTAATTTTGTTTATATCTCTTGAATGTGTATATTACACCGAAATCTCGAAACACGCTTTTTCTCACTAGCATCGAAATAGTCCTACTGCTCATCATCCTACCCCAGGAGTTAAACATGAACCCATATAATTGGTTTTAAGCTACCACTGGCGCCACTGACATCACTAATTCCTTAAGTTTGTCATCATTATTAGTTAAAAAAATGGGCGAATTGACCTCGAGACTACTGTGAATCAATAACTTCTCAAGGAAGCTTCGACAACCCTCCGCCTCATTGCACTAATACAGATCCATGTACAGGGATAGTGTGTCTTTATTAGAGGGTTTTATTCTCAGAAGCTCCAGTCACACCATTCCGAGACAGCTAACGTGTACAAAACTCATGTTTGAGGTCCAGATTCTAAACAAAGAGTGTTCAGCCAACACTGTACCACTGTTTTATTTCAGTTATCTGTAAACTTTCCGAAGTTCGACTATCAAGTTTGACTGAAAGGCCCAGATATTAAATTTAATCGAAAACTGTTAGATGGAACGAATCATTGGTTGCATTATTAGTGAAACTGAGACATGGCACAGTTAGTCGTGACGCTAACTTAGCAATATTGTTCAAAGAATTAACCAGCGCCAATTACCAGAATTTAAATTAGGATATGTTCAGTCCTTAGATTAGTATTTCAACTGTTGCCCAGTATTTGGTTCAGTTTATCTGATCAGAAATAAATCAATCTTAATAGATTATTCTTACATCGGAGAGTGGGTTTCGACGATGTATTTACATCGTTTATTTTGTACTCGTATTTGTGTATCGTTAAGTCTGAAATACCATTATAACTGATGATTCGACACTGAATCAAAAAATATTTGAATTTTTATTTTCGTGACTCCTGTGTTAATAGCCGGAATAGCTCAGTCGGTATAGCGACAGACTGTGAGCTTGACGGTTGGGATTCTGCTCCCGGAAAGGGTAAGAAAATTTTCTATACTCCAAAGCATTCAAACCGGTTTCGGATCCATTCAGCCTCCTATGAAATGGGTAAAGCGGACTGGGCTTGAAGATGACCTCTCACTTCCATCTAGTGGCGAGGTCAAGAATGATGGAGCTATACCTCCACTCCCCCACATGCCTTCATGATATAGTCCTCAATTAATTATATACAGAGACAACTTTGCCTTTTTTTTTAACTACTCTGTTTGAAATGAATATCTTTTATTCTTAGAGACTTCAGTCGCCCATCCACATTGCAGCCGAACAGGGCTACACGGACTGCTGCAAGCTCTTGTTGGCGTCTGGTGCCAACATCGACCAGAGAGAACAGGTATGTCCACTGCCTTCGCTGCACTCGAAACAATTTCGTCGGAAAAGCAAAAGTTTTGCTTCTAGCGCGTGTACATTGTTCTGTATACTGTTCTGCCCCCACATGCCCTTGTGTATACAAAAGTACAAATGTATGATGTATTTAACTATTTATTAATCATCTCTTTATCAAATACTTCGCCAAACTAAGCACACGTAACGCTTTTGTCTATATAGCTAAAATGAAAATTCCATAAAAAATGCATCAATTTTTATTAAATAAGCCCTAATTGTATCCAGTATCAACTGTAAATACTAATTATGTTATACGTGCATGTTCTTAGATAGGCATATGAAATTACTTGTAATGTCTTCTTTTTTTTTTTTGGCTTTATAATCACAGTTTGTTGTTAAATTTCTATGATATTAACGCACATACCGTATTTACGCATGTATAGGCCGCACAGTTTTTGCCAAAAATTCAAGAGGAAAACTGGGGTGCGGCTTGTATTCGAAATATTCGAAATCACATTTCATTTAAAAAAAATTATATTCATAATTAGTAATACAGGGTGAATACTCCTGAAATAATATTCCAACAAAATTATTTTTTCTATAATTTCTGTCTGAAAATTGTGCTGCGGCCTATACACGCACGCGGCCTATACATGCGTAAATACGGTAATTTTCAAAAACCCAACCGAATATAGAGTTCAGAGTCATCAATTTTATTTCCATTACCGTGATTTACCTTCTTTATTCTCTATGATATCACTTACAGGAAGGTGCATACCAGAATGTCTTTAATAGTCACCGTTTCGGAGTACATTTTCTTGATTTAAACCAGGCTAAATGTATGTTTCGAAGGTTCTTCTCTGTAACACATATGCAGCATATTCAAATTTTATTATTAGTGCACTTCAGTTACATAAAAATATGATTCCATGTATGCAGTGCTGCCAACATAATTCACTCAACCCGTGGTGAGTACATATTTCCCACTTCCTGTTCCCAGTTTTGCGGATATTGCATTCTAGTGTTATCAAGAAGCAGCATGTGGACTTCGCCAGTCATCCCTACTTAGTGTTACTATCATTGCCATATCATTCCTTCGTTATTAATTGTGACCTCCTTTCAGAATTATCCCCGATATTAGTAGCCCGTTTTCTAAAATCGACAAAACGAATAATTGGGTACAAAACGTAGAAGATAAAAGGTAAAGCTATCCCTGTAAGAGGCTGTGGAGAACCATATGGTTGCGAGACGTCGAGGTTCCCACATTTTCTAGAGAGTCGGCTCACAGATGGCGGCAAGGTTGTCAGTCCTACGTGTCGGCTGCCCTTTACCCTCCAGGAGGATTCCTGGTGCTCATTTCTGTTAGATGCTGAGTCGACCCAAGGGCAGTAGTGCTGTTGGAAGGATTATGTCGATTGAAAAATCTAACGACATCATTGGCAATAGAACCGTGAAATTCCGGCTTGTTGCATAATTCCTCAAACAACTACGCTACCGCCTACACCAATGTCCAAAACATACAGCATGCATAGCGCTTTTGTTAATTCGCAGGTCCGAGATAATTCCAGTTCAAGGGGAAAAGTAAATTAAAAAAGAATTGTACCGTTGTAACCTATTGATATGAGGTGTCCACAGGAGTAAGGACAATCTGATACATAGCCAGAACTGACTTAACCCTCCACGACAATCGAAGATATAGGCCTAACAGACATATACAGAACCATAAAGTACTATATTTGATACCTCCTTCATCCCTCCAATGCATGTTACATTTCCTCTCTACCTCGTAGTCTTTAATCTCCTAATAAAGATTCAATGTAAAAAACAGTAAGCTTCCTGCATATCATATCAGAGTAACTCTTAGTCGATAATTGTTTGACAGTATTATTAGTGCCCAAACATGATTCAGCAAAGAGATAATACATTTAATTTGGCGCCTTAGAATACAGATAGGTTCCTCCTCACTCATTTGGGTTTTTAGAATCACGGATCAGTAACCATCTGTTATCATTCGGCACCCACTTCGCCTGGTGCTTGTTGAAGAGATGCCAGAAGTCAAGACCTCATGAGCGTCGATACTTTGCGCTTAATTCTCTGTAGCAGAATGTTTCACATTATTATTCCTGACACTTCTTTTGGCCTTTCACGCATGGAGCTACCACTGCCTCGTCACCATAGTGCGTAGTTAAGTTGCGTGAAAGCGTTCGCACTGCGTGGCTGCCTAAATATATGTACCTTGTAGCTACGTGTACAGAAGCAATGCAGATTCAAGATATTTCGAGTCAAATGTGGTTAAAGAGAGCTATAAAAAGCAATTTACAAATTTCCGAGTTCCCAGTATTTGAAAATATACTCGTATATTATAATAATCATCATCATCATCATCAGTAATCTGTCAAGACGACAGGTCCACAGGCTCTTCCAAAACAATTCCTCCATTTAATGCGATCTAGAGCTTTCTCCTTCAAGTGACAGTATCCTCTTCTGTCCCCAAGGTCATCCAGCATCTTCTTACGTCTTCTTGTTACTTCTATCCGCCCCTCTATCTTTCCTTCGATAACTTCTTTTAGAAGGCAGTTTCTGCGTAAAACATGACCAATCCAATTAGCCTTCCGTTTTCTTATTTCGTGTAGGATATTCCTCTGCTCACTGACTCTAATTAACACTTCTTCATTTCTCACATAATCGGTCCAACTGATCTTCTCCATCCTTCTCCAACACCACATTTCAACACTTTCCAGATGTTTCTGATCTACTGCCCTAAGTGTCCATGTTTCAGCCCCATACAGAGCTATGCTCCAAATGTAGCATTTCACTAGTTTCTTCCTCAAATTTAAGTCCAATTTGCTGGTAAAAAGATTCTTCTTCTTGCTAAATGCAGCTTTTGCCATGGCAATCCTGGATTTAATTTCACTAGTACACCTTCCATCATCTCTTAACAAGCTACCCAAATATTTAAAACATTTCACATTCTCCAGTTGTTTTTGGTCTATCTTTATTGTGACTGGGGTTGGTTGTATATTATAATATAGAAAGTTATATCAAAACACTCAAATAGCTAAACACAAAACGACTTTTTTAGTAAAATATTTTTCACTGCTGGGTATGTTAATTGATGGGGTGGTGACCTTGGAGAATGAACCCGATTGAAAAATATCTTACCGAAAGAGATTTTAACATACACCGTCTGAACTAGTGTTAATACAAAGTCTCCCATACATTTTGGAGAAACGTTTATGGGAGAAAATGCTGTAACTGGAAACACTAGAAATTGTGACGTAAATCTGCCCATGGTACCACCGAACCAGAACCTGTAACAGCGATACAGTGAAGATGCGCCGTGATTTGAGTCGTTTTAGCATCTTGAACGTTCAGAAAGTTCGTCGATTCTCTGCGGTCGTCCGGCAGGTGAGAGAAACGCGCAAGTGAGGTGCAGCTCTCACCTGACACTTCTAAGTCACGCTGTAGAGTCACCCGTGAGATGACACACAATTTTATCCACTGTTTTAATTGAGATTTTCTTCCAAGATCACCCTCTTCTAAAATAAATTTAATAATCACCATAAATATGATTACGTGTACTACAAAGCAGTAATTTGGGACACGGGGTAGTGTAGTTGGTTGAGGCACTATGCTACAAGGTCTCGGGTTCAAGTCCCGATTAGGTCTTTGGCTTTTTTTCAATTGACCTAATCCTTCCAGCCGCACTATGGCCCTGGGGTCGACTCAGCCTCTAACAGAAATGAGTACCAGGAATTAATTAAATAATTTTCCTGGGGAGTAAAGCGCGGCCGGGGTGTAAAGCTGACAACCTCACCGCCATCTTTGAGCCGATTATCTAGAAAATGTGGGAACCTCAACGTCTCACAACCCTATGGGCCTTCACGGCCTGTTACAGGGATAGCTTTACTTTACTCTTTTTACTTTTACAAAGCAGTAATTTAATTTCTCCGTTTTGACAGGGTCACAGAAACATCTCTTCTCAAATATTTTACAGTCAGAGGATTTTAGACCTAACTATATTTTCTTCTTCTTCTTCAGGGTGGAAAGACTCCCTTGTACATCGCGGCTCGGGGTAGCTTTACCGCGATAGTTGATATGATCATCAAGACCGCTCGGTTAGACTACCCGACGCCTGTATGTAGTCCGCACCCCGCAGGCCTGATCAGCACCACTGCATGCCGGACACCACTACACCCCAACACCACCCACCAACACACCACAGCCCGTCCTACAGGATCACGTGTGGTTATTACCTGGTTCATCTGACTGACCTCTGCTGCAGCCACATTCCAACATGACATGACACAGTTTGCTTGTTCTTATGTTTCGTTTGTGTAGAAAGCCTATCAGTAAGCTCTTGTAGAACCAAAGTGATGAGTTATCAAGTAAACAGCAGAATAAAGCTCAACAAACAATTGGGAAATTGGTACACGTATTTAAAAGTTAAGCACGCGAAATAAATATTAATATCTTATATAATTTCATATAGCAAGTTTACAATGATTTCGTCATGAGGATGACTTGGATAACATTTACGGAATTTCTGATTCTATAAGTGGAGAACAAATCATTATGAACAGTAATATCTTCTGGGATATAACGCCATGTAGTCCGCTGAAAGTCAACCGACGTTTCGGAGGAATATGTCGCCTACATCTGCAGGGTCGAATGAGCCGAGCAAGATACTTGTACGAGTACCAGCGTGAAAGCAAGTGGCAAGCCGAGTGACAGGCAAACCAGCTTTCACGCTGGTGTCCTGTTCCGCTTATTCGATCCTGCAGATGTAGGCTACATATTCCTCCGAAACGTCGGTTGAACTTCGACGGAATACACGGTAATATATCCCAGAAGACAGTAATCTTCATAACAAATGCTGTGAGAACCCCAAATGCTATATAACAAATCATTAAATTAAGCAGAGAAAACCGTTACAGTTTCACGATTTGTATTTACGTTCAGCTGTTTACAACTGTCTTTGTCTCGTTAATAATGTATAAAATTTATGTCACTAATTTATTTATTTACTACTTTCTTGACAATTATACAGTAATTATATCAATTTTTCCATGTGAACGGTGCAATTTTCAGTCCCGCTTATATTAAATTCACTTTAGAGATTTTTAGTAGCGGTGTATGAAACATTACATCTGGAGACCATGAAGGTTTTTAAATGGTTCTGACGATGGTGTATAACACTCACGATTGAGGTTAGCTCTTACGAAAGGACCGAACAGAGTAGGCGTCTCCCTACACTTCACCTGAGGAAGGAAACAGATTCAGTTGCTGAAATGTTGCGTCCTTCGTTGTTCTTTAGAATACCGGACGATGGACAAAGTCAAAACTCAGTAATTCCGAGCATCTGGTGGTCATGTCAGAAATATAATATAGTCACCACAAGATGAAAAATCTGTGTCCATGTCTAGAGTAAAGTGCATGAAAACTTTCTATCGCTATTTATAAAATGTAACAATTTTAATATCGAAAGTATAAGTAAAAGAACTGCTGTTTTGACACATTAATATAGGTTGGTCCACGTCCTGACAGCGGAATTCAAAGGGGTTCTCTGGTTTTCCTTCCACACTGCTATCTTCCATCATTCTGCTGTGCCTTCTACTAATATATCATTCTGTCATCCCTTGTATGATCTTCACGCTGGCAACACCTGCATGCAGAACACCTGCCATACTGCTACCACATTCACTTTATGACCCACATATCAAAGTATGCCACTTCTGTTCACATTCAACAATCATATCTTGTACTTAGTGTAGCTTTAAGCGACCTCCGTAGTCTAGAGGTAACGTTCCCACCTCATGACTCGTGGTACGCGGGTTCAAATACCCGGCGGAGGTCGTCGAATTTTAAAGGGCGGAAAAATTCAGGGAACAAGTCCTCCGGGAGGGACTTTAAGCTGTGTGTCCCGTGTCGTAACTTTACAGCACGTAAAAGAACATCATATCCCCAAAGGGGATCACTGAGTCAAATTTCAGGATGTTTCCCGCCCAACAATAGCCTCTAAGGCCTCTGGTAGATGGGGGAAGCATTATAGACACCGCTAAGCAAGTGGCCGAACTCGCTTGCCGGGCGGGACTGATGATACGCACCATTTATCGGTAGGGTAAAGAGACTGATAGAATATCATAGAGGGAAGCACAATAGATCAAACTGGTCGCGGTGCATGGGGAAACCCACCCTCTCTAAATAACTAACTAGTGTAGCTTTTGTATATCTTAGATATTACAGTTGTTATATCTCTGTCCATGCAGCAGGGACCGTCCTTATCTTCGTGTTGATGCCCCACGGAAATGCAACGTCAAACACGTGCTCGTTTGGGGAACCTAATAATGAAATTAAAATGGTTCCTTCTTGCTGTCCCTTAATGCGCGCTTAGGAGCGAAGCCTGAAACATGAGTAATACAGGAATCCAGACGGCATAGAAAATCCATTGTTCGTGTGACGGTTTGGCTATGCCACTGTGAAATGTTATCGCTGCGCGAAGTTGCGATGTTATCTACTGGAAGCCACGTAGAGGCTTGTTGACCTAAACATTTTGCTCACGGACAGAACGGTGAGCAATGAGCGATTGTCTCCGTGGTGGGGGCTAAAAGTCACGATTTGCCAGTCGTGTAGCACTTGCCATTATATTGGTAATTGTCAGTGATATTCTGGAAAAGTAACTCCTCCCAAATTTTCCTGATATCCGGACTTCACGTCGTAATAGATCGGTAAATTCTGATATCTTCTCTCTTTGTTTCCCATGACCGGCATGTACATATTGTTCTTGTGGGGTGGAAATTAATTGTGACTTGTACGCCTCCTGTAAATCATGATAACGCTGATTCATCTCTTGAACTGTTCATGTAGTTCCAACCCCGCGTTTTGTAGCATTCAAAATAAAGGACTCCCGAAAGACCGTGTAACATGTACGTCCATTCTGCACACACGAAGCTTTGTCTACTGGACCTGAGAAGGTTACGATCGTTTCGTGATTAAAAACGGGGCCCTACTGGACTACTATTGGGAATAAATCTTCTTGTGTCCTATTCCGGCCGTGTCAAGTGACATGCGCCTTTCAGATCTTCTCAATGATCTGTTCCCACCGAATCCCTGGATGTCATGTCTCGCTAATGAGTCCGTTTGAAAAGCGTACAGGCCAGTTTGAGGAGCGGAGCATGGACTCTTCTCAATTTGAACCGCGTTTGTGATATTTGACTTTCCCTTCTTACCCACTAACATCAGGGTGCACGCGGTAGCGTAGTTGGTTGAGGCACTGTGCTACAAGCCGGAAGGTCACGGGTCCAACTCCCGATGAGGTCATTGGATTATTTTTTTCAATTCATCTAATCCTTCCAGCCGCACTATGGCCCTGGGGTCGACTTAGCCTCTAACAGAAATGAGTACTAGTAGTATTCTTCGAATATTTTGGGGGGTAAAGAGCGGCCGGCGCGTAGGGCTGATAACCTCGTCCCCATCTGTGAGCCGACTCTCTAGAAAATTTGGGAATCTCGACGTCTCACAACCCTACTGGCCTCCACGGCCTATTACAGGGATAGTTCTCCCTTTTTATTTAAGAGTCTGTCCACCATAAATCGGTACCCAGTGAAAATGAACATTCTAGCTCTAAAGGGAGTGGTCTTTCAAATAGGCCCCAAAGCATAAAATGACGATTTTCTCGAAAACTACCATGGATATTTTGAACGAATTTCAATAAGTTTTGAATACTATCTCTATAAATGAAAATGCCCATTTTGTATCTCCTGTAAGATACTGGTTCATGCGGTAGGGACACAAGGGTGAAATACCAGTCTTGTCAAAACCAGCTCAACCGGTCGCATGTGTTTACTCAGGAACCTACGATGATTTGTCGAACAGAGATAGATTTACCGAACAGACCGGTCTACATGTGACGCTCTATAATTGTATTCAGGAAGTGCTCAGTTCGAATCACAGCCGAGACACTTACTATCCTGACTAAGGGTTTTCTTACTTTTCCCCAGTCCCTCCAAGGAAAAGCTAAGATGGTACCTCGCTTAGACTACGGCCACTTTCTTCCAAATCCTTCCAGTTCATCACAATTCAGTTATCATCCCACCGTCCGACGTTGCGGAGCCTCGATACTGAACATTTCCTTAAATTATCTATGAACGAAATTGATTTTGTTTCCAAGGCAACGTAGTCAAGATCAAGTATGTGCAATTTATTTGCTTCGATTTTAGTCTAATTTCATAAAGTATATGTATTATTTATCAGTATTATTGAAGTATTATTTAATGTGTATTTCGTAAATAATATAGTGCTGAGAAATGCTAACGTAAAGCTTGCCTCGAAGAATATTATTCCGTTCTTGTGGTATCAACAGGAAAATCTTCGTAGTCATTCAGTACTGTCATCTTGGGAAGTGGCTGCAAGATGTTTGTGTGTGATTCTGTTATTAATCCTAGGTACAATTCGGGATTAAATATTTAGCCCGCACACATATCCTCTACCAATTAAGAGCATGCAAACACTTTATTATACTGTAGTACAACACGTATGACGTGACGAAACTGAACATGTGATAAACTCAAGTACATACAAAAACCATGGGAATTTTCTCCTCTCCATAGCGTCCAGACCGGGTCTGGGGACCATCCAGCCTCCTATTCAATGGATACCGGGGGCTCTTTCCCCAAGGGTAATGTGGTAGGGTCATTACGCTAACCACTCACCTCCAGCTAGTGCCGAAGTCAAGAAAATTTGGATCTATACATCTATCCCGTACGCCTTCATGACGTAGTGCTTAATTACGTCCCTGTGCTTAACTACTTAAGCACAGGGACACCTTGACCTTTACCATGATTTCCTTTAACATGTTTATAATACCATAAGGTTCACTGTTCCGAAATAGCAAAGCTAAAGTAATCCTTCAGTTACTGTTTCAGAGAGGCACTACGGTACTCTTGTAACATGGGTATTGCTCATTATTCTGTGTTCGGGCTTCCATACAAAGGCAGGGAAAACTCATAATGCAAGTATAATGTTTGAACCGAAGCACACTGAAGTGAATATGTGAATCGATGAAAAATCCAGCACAAGAAAAGATTAAATTACTCATTCTCTGCTAATTTACATATTTAAATTGCATAACACGTAGT